TTTGAGGTCCTCAACTCGTTGTCGGGTCACACTCGGGGTCTTCGTAGTCGCAGTATCCTGGATGTTCGTCTTCAACACGGTGGTGGTACAATTCAGGGTGTCGATGGCTTGGTACACTTGAGTAGCTTCACACTCGGGCTACCGGGGATTCGAAGTACCTTGGGATGCCTTGGCCTTGCCAAGAAGGGTAGCTCTCCGGGATACGTTCACCGGGGCACTTCACGGTCTCCCTTCGTCAGACTTGGTCGGGGCCGGACTGGGTACTGCGCACCTCCGGCCAGTTGAGGTCAAACGCGACCAGGTATCCATACTCCACATCTCCTCCATCATGCTCGGGCGTTCCACAGGTACACCATCCTGAATCGAACCTTCTTTCCCACACTGTCGCTCTCCCTGGATCGGCGCCGGGGCCAGCTGCGCGGACACTCTCCAAAATTTCAAGTCGCCTCGTGTCAACCGCCCCTCTGGCTACGGAATGACACTGAGGAAAACACCATCGAAGTATCAGACCATTGGTAGACACCCACGAGCGCGGTCGGTCCTCCCGAATCGAACGGTCGCCGTTCGCCTTCCCAAATTGGCGAGCGTGCTAAGTACGATCTCCATTCCAACTGTCGGATCCAAATCCATTCTCCGAGAAAAGCAACCGCGCTCAAAACGCAAAATCCTCTCGCTCCGGCAACTGATGAGCGACGCAGACTGCAACGCGGGCCAGGCGTCTGATGGCGGTGCCCCTGAACGCGCCACCGAGCAACTCCCGGACGCGCCTCCCGCTGGAGGGGGTGCTTCGGGCTCGGCTGGTGAGCAGGGCGACCGCGGCGCAACTTCTGGCCATGCGGACACGCAGGACGCGCGCCAGGCTTCGTTTGATGAGCATCAAGATGACGCTAACACCCCTGACGACGCGGCCAGCAAGTCGAAGGCGCTGGTGGTCAAGACTGCGGGTACCGACACACCTCCGCACGCCAACAAAGACGCGGATGCAGCCGACCGCAAGGGCAACGGCGACACCGAGGGCAAGGTGAAGGACGCAGCCGGCTCGACTGCCACGGCGGCTGGCAGGACGGGGGCCTTTGCGGGTACTTCGTGTGCGAGTCGCAGCGCTAGCGCCGAGCGCCTCCCTGACAGCGGCAAGGGAGCTTTCGGGTACGCACCTCCAGTGCCTCTGCACGTGAATTTCCGGACGTAAATGGAACCGCTCTCGTCATCGGCTGCCAAGTACGAATTTCAAGGCAGGCTGAGTCTTCAGGACTCGTGCTCGCGTGCGGCGCAATCCTCCAATCCGGAATTGGCGGGTCAGTCACCTCCGGCGCGCTTCGCGGTCAGCTCGGACCTCAATCTCACCTTCGTCGGTGTTTCGGCTCGGGTCTGCGACAGCTACAAGGAGTGTTTCCTGCGCACGGCTTTGGGGGCATCGAGGCGCTCTGGACCGTGGAAAGTCTCACAGACAAGGAAATCCAGGAGCTGATTGACTTGCTGGACCCGGGTATGGAGCTCCACCGCTCTGTGCTACGCCTGCGGTCTTCCGACACGGGGCGCTCCATCTCTGAGCTCCACGGACTCCTGGATAGTATTGCGGCCAAGCGCGAACTCGCCTCACTCTTGCAGTGTTACGACCTCGATGGCCTCGCGCGTAGGGTGTTTGGAACAACATCGCTGGTGAAAGCCGTGCTACGTCAACTTCGGGGCGACGCCAGCTTCGCTCGAATGGGCTAACCGCCAGCCTGGATTACCTGGCGAAGGACAGTGAGCTGCAGAAGGCCAAGCGCGATATCGCCGTCCTGAACCGCTGCTGGGAGGAGACCCTGGAGGTCGCCACCAAGAAGCGCGAGCAGGAGATCAAGGATCACGACCGGGACTTCAAGCGAGCTGCGCAAGAACACGAGCGCCAGGAACAGGCGCTGCAACTCCAAATCGACAAGCTCTCCCGGGAAAATGACGATCTTCGTTCCACTGTCCGGACGATGACTTCTCGGCTGAAGGCCGGTTCCATGAACGTGGGCAGGACGATGAACTTCCTGAATCGGCACAACACTCGGGTTGACGGCAATTGGCCTCGCCTGAAAGCGCTCCTGGAATGCGCCAAGGACAACAAACTTCCTCCGGACGGCTGGGCTACTCAGATCTTGGTGAACGCGGTCGACGATTTCGGGGCACAACCTGGGGCTTACGTCTTTGTGGACGACGGTGACGACGATCAGGAAGAGAAGGACGATGATGGCCCGGGCGCGAGAGAGGGATCCAAGGACGCGCCCCTCGACTTCACCCAAGACTCGTCCGCTCCGTCAACCACCTCGTCACTCAAGTCCCGCTCCGTCAAGACATCTCGAGCGCCGAAAAGCGCAACTGGGCGGCACTTCCAGCTCCGTCCTGAGGTGTACACCCCGAATGAGCTGGACGCGATGGACCCGCTGACTCCGTATGCGCGGTCGGTGGAAGACGCACGGGCTTCGCTGGTGGCGCATGCCGTGATCTGGGACAAGCTTCGCCTGGATGTGCAGTTGGCGATGCAGTCTGGGCTCGACTACCTGGACGCGTTCGACCTGGTCTGCGGGGACAATGTCGTGCATCCTCGGTTCCACGTTCGGGACCTGCTCGAGCTCCTCGTCCGGATCATGTATTGGCGCAAGTTGGACCAGACACCTTGGACGAGCTACGTCCCGAGCTGGTACTACAAGAAGGCCGAAACCAGACTGGAGCAGCTCACGTACATACCGGACAAGTGGCCTGCCCTGAAAAGTGTCCGCCTAGACGAGGAGGCGGAGGTGATGCAGGCGATGTATTCCGAAGTATGCGACGACATCGACGACGAGACGCAGGACGAGACATTCAGGACGACCAAGCCATTCAAGGCCAAGCTCGACTTGCGTACCACGCCCCCTCGGGAGGCCAAACGCCGCAACAGCACGTCTTCCACTACTTCAAGTACCACCGGGTCCCTGCATCCTGATCCTGAAGTCGCCCCTCCTCCGGCCAAGCGTCCGCGCGCAGCCTAACGGCGCACGCAGTCCACCCTCGTCCGGAAGGAGCATGCCGAGCTGACCCCAGAAGAGCTCCAAATTATCGAGGTCCCGGGTCGCGGGGTCACTTCCTGGCGC